CTTTAAAGAAGTTTCGTTTTTTGAGTCAGATGATTATGGAACTGCAAAATGAAGACATAGAACCAGTTGAAGACAGAAATGAATTAGATGCTTACATGCAGTTAAAACTGAATAAAAGTGATGATGACCCTCTCGTATTTTGGACTCAAAACTCCCACTTATATCCCAAAATGTCACTTATAGCTCAAGAGGTACTGTCAATTCCAGCATCATCCACTGTCGTTGAAAGAGTGTTTTCTGTTGCTGGTTATTGCTCATCAGGCAGAAGGAACAGATTAAGTGGAGCAACACTAGAAACTGAGATACTTTTAAAGACTAACAAGCAATTTCTATAGCCGTTCAAACAATTTAACTAAAATAACTAACTAAATTTGTTAAAACTAATACTAACTATGAGCATGCAAAGATTTAGTTAACTAACTACAAACTAGCTAAAATTTTTTTGATTGAAAAAAAACTAACTAAAACTAACTAAAACTCTTGATAGGAGGGAAAAACTAAACTATAAACTAACTAATTTAATTAAAAAGACAAAAAACTAATAATTACTAAACTAAAATTAAATTTTGTAACTAAAACAACACTAATTTTGATCCTGGTTTACATACACATATCAGAGAATCTATTGTAACATAAGCTAAATGAACAAGAAGCAATTAGATTTATACCTTTATACATGATTGGGGTTGTTAAATTTCTTGCTTTTACTGTGTTTTGATCAAAATTGTGCTCCTTCCAGTAGTTACAAGACCATGACTTATATTTTTGAGCATTTTTGAATTGTAGACAATAGTTTTACTGACTAATCATCTATAATGGACCAATCGCTGCTTTTGACAGTCTATATACATGTAGATCTACATGTGGTAGCTAATAAACATGAGGGTGTGAGACACTACACATGAACTATTCTATTATTGTGAATACTATTTTAAACCAGAAGATCCATTGTTCCTATTACAAATTATGAATCTCATAATAAAGTTACACCTCTTTATGAATCAACAAAAGAAGGTTGTTATTCTACAAGGCTAAATATTCCTCTTTGCAGTTATGGAGATTGATGATAACAAAAATCTTTATGAGGTTGAGCACGAATATGATGGAAAGGATGACTTCCCTGAACGACCATTACCTAATCTACAGATACATGACACTGTCCCAGCTGGAAGGAAAACTCTTTTTGTTCTCCTTGGCATACAGGCCTTCATAATCCTTATCCTTATAATACTCCTGGGTATGAATGGTGTTACACTAACACAGTTGAATGTAGCAGACACGTGTGATTGTACAGGAGCTAGTACTGGTGGCATAGTTAGCAGCAATGGTGATAGTTGCTCACAGATTCTCAATCTAACTCGAGAGCTTCTTAGCCAAAGAGATAATGATACCAGAAATCTCATTCAAGATCTTGCTAATAGCACAAACAAGCAAACCGGTATTCTTAGCCAGGTGACACAGCAATTAGGAAGCACAGAGGCTAAAGTTGATGACATTCGTTCAGCAATGGATGAGCAGCTAGTCAATATCTCAGATATTTTGAATCAAGTGCAGCAGGCAACAGGACTGTCTGCTCAAAGGCTCGTGAACATTATTACTACTCTTTCCAATATTAAAGACACTGCTACCTCTACTGCTGGAGTAACCGATGATCTACTAATCATGGTCGGAGAAATACTTCAGTTTCAGAATGTATCGTCTCTCTTCAATTCCTTAATACCAGTCTCATGCAAAGACGTCAAGGCAGCTCTACCTAACAGTCCTTCTGGTTGGTATAATCTTAACAATCAAAACACTTACTGTAACATGGATCAGTTATGTGGTTCAGGAGGAGGATGGACAAGACTAGCATATCTGGATATGTCTGATGCTACACAGAACTGTCCCACTGGGTTTAGGCTGTACACCTTAGGAGGGAAGAGATACTGTGGAAGACCTGAGTCTAACAGTCGTAGTTGTTCATCAGCCTCATTTTCTACTAACGGTATTGGTTACTCACAGATTTGTGGTCGAGTTGAAGGATTTGCAAAAACAAGCCCTGATGGCATTTTCGCTGGTAACAATCAACGCAACAATATTGATTCATCTTACGTTGATGGTGTGAGTATTACACGTGGGTCCCCTCGTCAACATGTCTGGACCTTTATTGCAACAATACAAACAAGTATTATTGCTGGAGGTGTATACAATTGTCCATGTTCTCCTGGTAGCACACAGCAAGTTCCTTCATTTATTGGAAGCAATTATTATTGCGAAGGAGGAAGTGCTGATCCACTCTGGGATGGTCAGGACTGTTTACCCATAGAAACCAACTGTTGTTCATCAACATACTTACCATGGTTCTACAGGAACTTGAACACAGCCACTACTGATTATGTTGAGCTGAGGGTGTGTGGTGACCAGTCTACTGGTGATGAAGATGTTCCTGTTGGTTTATATGAAATTTACGTGAAATAACTTTTGCTACACTCCTACTTGTTTACAAACAACTTTTGCTAACTTTTGCTATAAGCTGCTTATACGTTCCCAAAAAACATAATTATGCTGCCCTTTATTTACTATTTTTACTTGCATACATAAATAATTTAAAAATTACCAATTGGCAATTCCTAGGAAGTAACACACCAAATTTTACAAATAATTTTTAGATGAGGCATGAAAAAGATAGGCAGGAAGCAAAAATTTTTAAAAAGCAATTAGAAATAATGAATTAAAGGAAAACATTAAATAATTAATGAGGCATGCCACTAAATTTTTGACACAATTTGCACTAAATTGTAGTAATGTGTACATAGTCATGTTACAATCGCAGGAAATCATCGTGTGATTTAGATCGTGAAAGATCTTCAAAAGATCTGTCTCCAAGAAGCATATATTGTTTTACATCTCCACTGACTTGTGAGCGATCTACTTCACCAATATCCAACAGATGAGGGTTTGATCTGGCCTCAGCTAATCTATACAAAGTAAAAAAACAAGAGCATTTTGTTGATATTATTATTGTTGTAAAGGGTAGACATGAGGTATATAAAATAAGAGAGATCATGCTATAGATCTATCAAGAGTAGAGATCTAATTTTTAAAATATAGTTTTGACCCAAAGTTTATTATATGTAATAATTATGAATCACTAATACTTACTGTTGAAACTCATCATCCAACTCGTCTTCAACAGCTATGTAGTTCTATTGTGATAAGAAGGAAATGAGAAATTGACCATCACATCAATAAATACAGTACATGTATTAATATTTACAACATCAATTTATAAACTCTTTTATCTATAACAAATCTAATACTATGTTTACACTAGCTTCTTTAACTGAGTCAGCCCTGTTTAAAGTGGGCTAGCACAGTTTCATTTGATAGTGTAAATAGTAACCAAACTGAGCTGAAGTGAGCTGGGCCAAACCAGGCCAGCATGGTAAGTACAGCAGGGCCAACCAGCCTGGCTCAGCACGGTTTGGCCCAGTTCCGTAGTGTAAACGTAGTATAACTGACTTACCAAACTTTTAGCCTTTGACAGTGTTGTCTGTATTTCCAGAGCATCAGCTGATAATGGTTCGGTTTGCTGTGTGTTATGACGCTGGATCATCGGAGACATTGGCATCCCTCCAGATCTAAAGGGATTGGTGTCTTCATGGCGCTTAGGACTGCTAGGAAGAAGGTCAAATGTCATCTCAGGAATAACCTGTGGTAGAGTAGGAGAAGGCGCTCGTGGGCTTGACAATGGTACAGGATTTAAAATAGGTTCACCTACAAGGCAAGTAAAGCAACAAAACTGAATAGTACAGAGCCTGATATAACAGTCAGACAGTGGACATTAACTTATTTCTGTTTATTTTATATATTTATTTTGTTCTTGTTGCTACACTATAGTCAAGAGTAAATAATACCTACAGAGAGTATCCAACAGCCCTATTGAGGCCTGCTGCTAGTGTGTGGATTTTAGTGCTGGGCGATATATCAAAACTCACGATATTTAATCGATATAATGCGGTATCGATACTTATCAATATCGAAAAAATTTGAAGAAAATATCGATAACGAGGCCACGCCCACAAAATGGTTACATAACCTTAATAAATGGTTAATTAACTATAGGAGTAACATCTCAAAAATTACTAGAATGTATTTTCTTGGAAAGTAGATGAAGTAGCTGAAGTATTATGAAGCCAAAGAATGTTTTTATAATGTTTTTCAATAATAATTGTTCTCAGAAATAGCTTTATTTAGCCATTTTAGTAATATTAAAGTTAATGGGTGTGGCTTAATAACTTATCGATAAAGAATATCGATATCCTCATCAAGTTTTAGGCAATATCGTATCATATCGTATCGTTTCAAAATTTTCAATATCGCCCAGCACTAGTGGATTTACTGGATTAACTGGATTTCTAGGAAGTCACATTCCGCATACTTCAGTAGTTTTCAATCAATGTTTATACAGATGTGTTGTTATAACAACATTATCATTGATAATATACAGAAGTATACTGAACGTGACTTCCTAGAAATCCACACACTTGCAGCAGCTGAGATGGGGCCGTTGGATACTCTCTGTAGGTATTATTTACTCTTGCTATAGTTAATTAGCTATATTACTATTTTTGCTTTCAGCTCGGTAATAATTATTAAAATTTCTTTACCTAGTAAATCTTCAGTTTCCTGAGAAGTTTGAGTCAGTAATTGTTTTACAGGAGTTACTCCTCCTCCTGTATGATTGCTGGCATTGCTGCTGCTACTACTGCTTGCTTTCTTCTCCTCAGGTACTTTCTTTTTCTGTTCCTATAATCAGTAACAGTTATAGAATTTCATCACCATAACATCTACCAACCTTCCAACTATCATATGCAATGTTAAATGCTTGAGCAACAGTCAGTGTCACAGCTTCTGCCTAAGAGAAATAACAGATTATATTGCATATACATGTACATAAACTGCCATGAAAATAAAAAAAAATTCATTCACTATTGTGCCTACAATTAATAAAATTCATTTCTTTTACAGGTAACACCTACTAAAGAGCAAACAACCTCCCCAAAATGGAAGAGGATGATACAAAGAATCTTTATGATGTTACAGAGCTACAAGACTATGATGACCAATCTGGGTATAAGCCTGGACCAGTAGTGACCAGTGGAGGTTTTCAGCATCAGGGATTAGTATCTGTAGGGAAATTTGGTACAGTCATATTGATAGTGGTAGCTCTGCTGATATTCCTTGGTCTTGTTATCCTTCTTGGTATTACTGGCCTTACTCTCACACATTTAAACACACTCCCCGTTTGTGATAATACTGCTTCAACATCAAGTGGAGTCTCTGCTACTACAGGAAACCTTCCTAACTGCACTGTCGTCTATAGCACATGGACCGATGAGCTGGTAAAGAACAACACCCTCTTGCAAACACAGGTTACGGAGCTGAGCATGAAAGTCAACCAACTAACGAATACAAGTGCCCGTATATTTAATGTGGCTCAAGACACTGCAATGAAAGTCGATGATATATACAGCTATACTGATGTTAACACTACAGGGAACATAAACCAGATATTGAATACAACAAAGGATTCGGCTAACATGCTCATGGACATAGTTGGTAGTCTAACTAATATTGAAGGGAATGGCATATCTACTGCTGCAATTGTTGATGACATAATTATAGTAGCAAATAAATTACTGGAGCTACAAAATGAGTCTACTCTCGTTACATCTACAGGGCCTGTTTCATGTAATGACATTAAGATGGCGCATCCAAACAGTGCAACAGGTTACTATCATGCTGGTGGTCACACTATCTACTGTAACATGGACCAGCTCTGTGGTTCAGGAGGAGGATGGACAAGAGTAGCATATCTGGATATGTCTGATGCTACACAGAGCTGTCCCACTGGGTTTAGGCAGTACACTATAGGAGGGAAGAGATCTTGTGGCAGACCAGATACTAATACTGGTAGTTGTACACCAGCCAAGTTTTTTACTAATGGCATCAGTTATTCACAGATTTGTGGTAGAGTAGAGGGATATCCAAAAGCTACTCCTGATGCTCTTTTTAATGGTAACCCTCAACGCAACAATATTGACTCTACTTATGTTGATGGTGTGAGTATTACACGTGGATCCCCTCGTCAACATGTCTGGACTTTTGTTGCATCAGGTACCTCAGCAATTTATGATATTGGGCAATACAATTGTCCATGTACTATTGGTAGCTCACAACAAGTTCCTTCATTTATTGGAAACAATTATTATTGTGAAGGAGGAAGTGCCGATCCACTCTGGGATGGTCAGGGCTGTATAGCCATTGAACAAGCAAACTGCTGTTCATCACCATACTTACCATGGTTCTACAGGCAGTACAATGCTAGCACTACTGATTATATTGAGCTGAGGGTGTGTGGTGACCAGGGCACTAATGATGAAGATGTTCCTGTTTTCTTATATGAAATTTACGTGAAATAACTTGACTATATTTAAGCTACACTTCATTAAGCTGCCTATTTTTGCTGCCTATTTTTGCTGCTTATTTTTGCTCCCTATACTTATGTACTTTTAGAAGCTGCTGATGATACATTGCCCTTTATTTTTCGTTAATTATAAACCATTTTAAAAAATACATTTTAAACTCAGATGTCATGACAGCTTAGCATGCAAATTAAAGACAGGCAACTGTCTACATTTATTTCATATATCAGTCAAATACATTATACTAACTTTTGATCTTTTTCCACAGAGGTAAGCATGGCACTCTAGTTTCTTTGTCTCTCCATTACGTGCAATATAGCAGAACACTTTGTCATAGTATGGATCAACAGTACAGTATGAAACCCTAGCAATTATAGTCATTAACATTAATTTACAAAAATAATAACAATAGAAAGACAATAATACAAAAAAGACATGAATAAACATTCGGATTTGCAATTGTACAAACAAAATAATAATTTCAATGAATAAAAATACATCAATATTATAATAATAGAAATAAAAATAGTTCATCAACATTCTAGCACCTAATTTTAATCCATTATCATCTATTAACAGTTGATAACAGTTTATATTAATACTTATACATTGCAATAACTGTCACAAACAATGGCTCACCTGTAGAGTGGTATTTCGTCCAGTTTAATCTGTGTACGAAAATAATTTCATTAGTCTCGGGTTAGCAATATTTATTTGTTATCATTATGAGCTTGGGAGTCATAATTCTAAGCTTGCAGGTTTTAAAAGCAAACAAGGAAACTGATTCTTTACATATCATCAGTGACACTGAGATAACAATATCAAATAGCCTAACCTGTTTGGTGGCATCCTCTAATTTCAAAAACTTTGAGGAAACCGTCAGTTTAACTTTTTGAAGCTTTCCTGCCCTCACTTTGGCCTATAACAACAACAACAACAACAATATATTCCGTGAGTTCTTTTTTTACTCTCATTCTTGTATACATAAGATATAAAGTATGGACATGCTTACCTCTTGCACTATTGCTTTCACAGCATCTTCTGTTGACCCTGGACCGTGTGTTTTCTGAACGCCCATACTTCCCAAATACTAATAAGAATAATTGTTACCATATAAGCATCATCATATAGAATACAAGACACATATATACCATGCATCATTAGTATTATAATATAAGAGTATGACAACAAAATACTCAACATAGTTTGTTAAGCATTATTAGCTACTCAATAACTTTACAAATAAGCTTATAATTCTTCAGGAAATATAGCAAATACAATGTGACCATATACAATGTGATATACTATCAATATTATAGTATACTACACATTTAGAATAATCAAAAGGTATCTATAGTGGTCATCATTGGCTTCTATTGACATCATGATTGCACTTGGTCCAAAATTTACCTTCCTATCTTTTATCATTTTAAAAATACACACACACACAAAATTAATGTTTATCTATTCTGTCTTTGTTTAAAATGAAAGAAAAAATGACCCCTCTCGAAAACAAACTTCATAAGATAATACAATCAATAACAATATGTACAAATTATGGGTGTTCTGTGTTTTTCTGTGAGTAGTGCTTAGTTACTGTGTATCATAGTTGAGATACCAACCATACAATAACCATTCGATCGTATACTAACCTTGCAAAAGAAAGTAACGCCACTCTTCACTGGATCTTCTGAATGGTACCAGTCTTCATCGAGTACTACGAATGGATACAAGAAGAGGCAGGAAATTGATACTTTCAGTGTCGGCATAAATAAAATAACACCCAACTGAGGTACATGCACATAAAAATGTAAGGAAATAGGCTAGAAGCCCTATGCCCTCTATATAAAATGTCATAAAAAATTCAATAATTGCAATGCTAAACATTACATATTCAGTGTCAGCAGGTGTCCAGGATTATCGATATTGTACCTACTAAACATTACAGCCTCCTGTCCACAATTTAATTTACATCATACCATTTGTTCAAAGGTTGTATATACATGTACACAATAATAATAACAGGGCTGGAATTCACTACTGCTACACATGCTGGGACACAACTGCAAAGGCTAGCTAGCTACTCCAAGTCACGACTCAATTTAGTCAGCAGTGTAGAAATAGAGAACTATGGAGGGAAAAGCTTGCATGTCGGTTAGCAAGTAGTGAACGAGAAGACGCGCTGAGTGCCGGTAGGCCTAAATAGCACTAAAGGCTAAAACTCACTCTCGTGCTGGTTTTGCTCGCCTCCTCCTCCAAATTTCTTCCGTATCGCTCTAGGACTTTTCTTGATGGCAAGGCCAACAGCTTTTAGATGATCCACTGCCATTGTAAAGTGAATGATTTCACTGGCTAGTTATTAAAACCTAAACTAGTTATTAAAATCTCAAAGGGGTGTGGCTTAGAAATAACCACGCCCTTTGTATTTTTATAACTAGTTAATAACTAGTCAAAACAGGTGCCATTTTGCAAAATTTGTGGGATAAAAAGAAGACATGGTGAAACTTCACATTAAAAAGGGAGAGGAGAGCCATTTCTTGTACGAGACTAATGTTGGTGTATCAGTTGAAGATCTTATTATTCAATTGGTTAGACTTTACAATGGGAGACTGAAAGTGGACAGGCTCTGTCAAGGTACACTTGCATATTATTATTATTATTATTATTATTATTATTATTATTATTATTATTATTATTATTTTAATAAATAATGATGGAACAAATTTAGACTAGTGAATTTTATATGCTTTTTTGTGAAAATGACTAGGAGAGAACTCTGTATTTTTGTAATTTTTTATGATACATGTACATGTTCTTATGTTGTTTAGACAGTTTAAGCTGATTCCAATCAAAATTAGAATTTTCATGAATTTTTAAGTTGTTTCAAAATTGGGCCAAACTCCCTGTGCTATATATATATATAGTACAGGGTCTTTGACCAAATTTCATCAAAAATGACTTGGAGCTAATTCTGCACTTTTATAAATTTTATCTGATACATATACATGTTTTTATGTTGTGTAGCAAGTTTGAGTTGAATCCGATTAAAATTAGATTTTTATGAATTTTTAAAGTTACTCAAAAATTGAATCAAAGCCCCTGTACTATAGTACAGGGTTTTTGACCAAATTTCGTCAAAAATGACTAGGAGAGAATTCTCCATTTTAATAATTTTATTTGATACATATACATGTTATTATGTTGTGTAGCAAGTTTGAGCTGATTCCGATTAAAATTAGATTTTTTATGAATTTTTAAAGTTGCTTCAAAATTGGGCCAAAGTTCCTGTGCTATAGTACAGGATCTTTGGCCAAATTTCATCAAAAATGACTAGGAGAGAATTCTTCATTTTTATAATTTTATCTGATACACATACATGTTTTTATGTTATGTAGCAAGTTTGAGCTAATTCCCATTAAAATTAGATTTTTTATGAATTTTTAAAGTTACTCAAAAATCGAACCAAAGTCCCTGTACTATAGTACAGGGTTTTTGACCAAATTTTGTCAAAAATGACTAGGAGACAATTCTCCATTTTTATAATTTTATCTGATACATATACATGTTATTATGTTGTGTAGCAAGTTTGAGCTGATTCTGATTAAAATTAGATTTTTTATGAATTTTTAAAGTTTCTCCAAAATTGGGCCAAAGCCCCTGAACTGGGGACTTTGACCAATTTTCATCAAAAACAACTAGGAAAGAATTCTTCATCTCTATTACATTTTCTATAATACTCATAATATGCCCGTTTTAGGCATTAGCCCAATTAAGCATATTGAAACTCTTTTATACCCAATTTAATGCATCAATAAAACAACCAGCTGTTTCAGATACGAACAACCATAATTAGATGATATGTATGACATGATTTGACATGTATGGAATTTAGGGATATTTAATTTTAAGTTACACTTTCTATTAGTATATTCCACATCCATACTGTACTTGTATGTATAGTGACCTGCTTAGTATGTGTAGCTAGTACTAGACAAGTAGTCTTAGAGATGGATTCCATGTTCTTGTTATACTAACATAGCTCCATTATTGTTGTGTTTGTATCTAATTGTCTGTGGATTTCAGTGTTTTCTTTGAACTCAAGCTACATATGTTCAACTATCAATACTGCAAGTCAAAATAACTCTCTCTCTGTCCCTCTAGCCTATGTGATTGTGAGTTTAGCACAAGCACATATGCTTTGTTCATCAAAGCTAAACTTATCATAATTGTACTGTTCCACTAATTACTGTCCACTCACTACTCAGTAATGTTGAGCCCATTATTATTATAATTATCGATCATCATGTAGAGATTGAGCTGTTATCTTCCCATGGGATACTCCTTCCCCCTAACATGCAAGGGCTGACAGATGAGCAGATCATTGACCTCAAACTGAAAGATGAGTATGCTGATACCTGCATACCATGTGGAGGACACACTGATAATCCTGACCCTGTTGGAAGGAGAAATGGAAGAGGTATACGTATAGGATCAGTTCCTTATTGAAATTACACATAATGTATATATTTGATTTGTTTGTGTTTTATTTTGTCTGTGATTATACATGTAGTTTTGTTAGTCTCACCACTTTCTATTTTTCTATTGCAGCACCGAATGAGAAGATGAAGGAAGTATTGCATAGGACCATCAGTGAAGCAAGAGCAGCTATTTCCAAAGTATGTGAATGTAATAGCAAGACTACATACTATGTACTCTTGGTACATATTATGTACTCTTGGTAATCGTGTAAGTAGTATTACATGTTGTAGTATTACATCTTGTAGTATTACATGTATATAAGTACAAGTTTGTCATGTATAATACATTTGTGACTTGCCAATAGTCTACATGTATATGTACTATGAGAGCAATACGCTTCCTAGAATTGTTGATAAATAGATAATCAGTTGTTGTTGTTGTTTTGTTGTGTTGGTTCATTTGGCTAGAATCAAGTGGCAGCCAAAGTATGCATGACGGAAGAGATCATCAGTGACTCACTGGATAAGCTCAGAGGAGCAATAATGATAGTATATCCAATGAATTTGCCCCCTTATGACCCAATCAGACTGGAATTTGAAGGTCAAGAAGATCTGACTGGTTCACAGGTGCTACAGAGTATACTGTGTCCAAATATGTCTTATTAATTGGTATAGGCATCTTTGGCTGTTCTAGAGGAATCAACTGCTCAGCTGTGGTGGGCTGGAAAAGAACTGACTAGGAGTAAGAAGCTCCAAGATTTCATTGGCAGGAATGAGAAGACTACCATAATTGCTAAATTGCAAAAGGTAAACCAGAAACCGTACTACATTAGTGATGAGGGAGATTATTGATGCAAGAAAATAGTATTGTGGTTATTTTATTGTATGATTGGCTATATGTTGTGATGTGCTCTGCAATGATCGTGGTCATCTTTTCTTTCGAATAGAAAGGTCAAGGTGCCCCAGCAAGAGAGCCAGTGTTTAGTGAAGATGCTAAGAAGGAAATGATGTCGTATGCATATCGCAGACAAGAGGAACTAAAGGTACTAATGATATTATTATTACAGACAACACAATCATTATAATAGCACAATAGTACATTAGGTATAGCTAGTAAATGAAGTCTGTTTGGGTGGGTCTTTCACTCGCCTAATATGTCTTTAAACCCAAACTGTAATGTACAACACAAGGCCAGTATTTAAACTGATTCTAATTGCATTTCCAGTATTTAAAATGATTGTAATTACATTATTATAAGTGTTGTTATTGTGTTATTCCTTTGATGTATAGAAATTAGAAGCTGATGAAGAAGACTCGTACCTCAATGCTCAATGGGCTGATCCTCACGAACTGAAGAGATCATTTCAAGGACTCAGGGACATTAAGTGGGGGAGTGGTCTTAAGTAGTAGTATAGCTCTTAAGGTCTGAAACAACATTTTATCACTTATTTTTATGATGAACTTTACTAATGAGTAAAATGAATAAAAGAGACATTATGTATATGAGTAAAATGAATAAAGAAAGAGAGAGGGTAATGTTGTATATGTGTGTCTGTTAACACTTTAATTTGTAAAGTGTGTGGGTTCCTTGTCATACATGCTGTCATAGTACAGTAACAGTACACGTCTGTGTGTACAGTCTACTATGGATTTCATGATTTGTATTTTGCTTATCTTTGTGACAGCAGAACTAAGTGTGTGAATTGACTGTTCTTTGATTTATGTTTATTGATGTATCAATTTCGAGATCAATTTTTACAACCTTGTGACATTGTGATAATGAAATACCAGGTGCTAATAAGGTAACAAAAAATGTAATTTAAAAAAGTAATTGAGCCACGCCCTGTTTTTAAACAAACCCCTCCTTTTCTTAACAGAATTTTCACCACACAGTCACCAGCAGAAGTGGAACAAGATGATGATGAACCGTGTGTTCATTCTCAAACTGATCTTCCTACTATTCCTCGGCATGTTAACTGGTATGTTTTACGTGCACTGGCTGGAGTCCTCGAGAAGCATTGAAGAGCAGATCCGCCACGAGGTTGCCCTTCGTTCTATGGCTCCCGTAGAGTTTGGCCATCACAAACTTTTAGCGATTACCGGCAGCCAAGGCGCTGGATCCTCTTCTTCCAGACCGAGCGAATCACTTGAAAGAGATTTTTGCCGCGTCTCTGATTCTTTCCCTCGGGAGCAGCTAATGGAAGTGAAGGGAAATCTCCCACCGCGGCTACAACCGTCCTGGGGAATGTGCGGCCAGCTCATAGCTGGAGACAACTCTAGCCTCTACCAGTCGCTGAGGAGCTCGCTAAAGGGATGGGAGAGCAGCCTGCCCGACACGGTATTTCTTCGACAGCTAATAAGGAACTGTTCTGAGACCTACCGTGACTTTGCGAGTAGTTCCTACTCATCAAAGTACGAGCATGACTTCCCAATAGCTTACGAAATGCTCATCTATCAAAAGAAAACAAGGGTCCAACAGTACATACGACTCCTCAAGTATCTGTACAGACCGCACAATTATTACTGCATTCACATCGACATGAAATCATCATCAAAATGGACCCAGTTGATCCGTGACTTTGCTTCATGTTTTCCTAACATTGTTGTCACTGAGAAGCAAATACACGTCAAGTATGCCCGCTCGTCCATACTATACGCTCACTTTGAATGCTTCAAGGAACTAATGTCTCTCTCAAAGAAATGGAAGTATGTTATAAGTCTTCACGGGACGGAGCTCCCACTCACGACAAACAGGGAGATAGTGGAAACGCTCGTGAAAATGAACGGAAGTAACATGATCTCTAAAGGTATTGACTCAAAGAACTTGGAAGGCGAGAAAAAGAAATGGCTGACTCATCAAGTCATATCAACGCATAACGGTAGATGGGTAGCTCTAACTGATGTACCATTAGGACCAATACCCTACAACATGACTGTCTACAAGAGTGCTGCATCAGCCAATAGCGCTTTCTCTCGCCCTTTCATCCAATTCATTCTAACAAACAAGAAAGCTCACGCTCTTTTAAGGTTTCTAAACGACGTCCACTCTGGTGTAGAGTTTTTCTTTTCGACGATGAATGCTCTACCAGAGGCTCCTGGTGGATTCCATTCTATAACAAGCAACACTGAACTACCACTGGTAGCACAGAGAGACTGGACGCATGTCATATTAAAGCACAGATACATCTGTAAGGAGAGAAAGGTTGTACATGATATATGTATTGTTAGCTCAAGTGATCTACCAAGACTATATGAGGCTTCTAGTAAGAAACAATGGCTGTTTCATAATAAGTACTTCATTGAGTATGATCATGTTGTAATGGACTGTATCGAAAGAGTTCTTTTACAAAGAAATCATCATGAGTATATTCAAGATTGTCAGAAAGACACTGTTTCAAGAAATTATTTAGACAGTCCCTCTCAGGTACAATAATAATAGAGCAATCAATAATATTTTTTATGTAATAGATAATAATTTTGTTTGTTATTTTTCATTTCAAAGACACTGCACATTTTAATTTTTATTATTGGAATCCCACTTTGAATCACAACGTATAATGTGAACATTTACATTGTTATCATATCTTAACACTAATAAGATAGACTCCACAACAGACCACACATTATGGCTAGTAACGAAGAGGCGGGACAAGACTAACAAGATGCAATCATCTTCTGTTATTATTAATAACTTTAGGGAAACATGAACTAAAGTGATATCAGTTAATGTACATACCTGCTGCTTGCTGCTACTATCATGGGCATACGGTCATTCTTCCTTTTATGTACATGACAAATGTTCATGTCTATACAGTACACAAGGGCACTCACATATTTTTAATATAATCTAATTTTTAGTCTTTATACTAGTAAAATAACAAAGAAAATGACAATTTTACACAATTAAATTTACCACTCATCTGATGAATCATAATCAAAATTAAAACGCCTTTTAAAATCTACAATAAATTCTACAATACAATTTGTACCAACTGGAGATAAATGAAAAGTATATTCTTTATTATCAGAAGGATAAAACTCAATCCCAAATTTATTACTACCAAAAGGTATGGCAAGGACACCTTGGTCTTCATGACTGACACATTGTACTGACCACTGGGTTAGTTTTGCAAAAGGTTGCTCAATAACAGCAATAGCTCTAACCCTGTCCCGAGTAAAAGGAACAGTACAAGAATCAGCTATTAGGATTGGTTCATATCTGGCCCTCACTGGCCCTTCTTCTAAATCTTTTTCATTCTCATCTTCTACATCATCCTTAAGAAGAGCTGGGTCAGGTGGCCGCCAATCATCATCATTTATAGCAAGACTTTCCATTGCGTTATATTCTACATCATCTTCATTGGTGTAAACTTCAGGAATCACTATTGTAGGATATTTGTCATCTTCATCTGCTGAATAGAATGATGCCTTTTCTTCTTCCTCTTCATCTCTTGGTAGAGTTTCATGCACGATGAGTTTTTCTATTTCATCCCAATCTGGCTCACTCTCCTCGTCAGAAGAAACATCCCAAAAACATTTATCTTCTACAACGGTATCGTATTCATTTTCATCTCTTGAGGCTAACAAATGGCGCAGCAAATCATCAAAGTTAAGCAGTTCAAACAGCTCTTTCTGAAAAGAAGTAGAAGAGCTCCTAGCGTGAAATACATCTTCCATAGCTCCAGGAATATTGATATTTTTTATTTTCATTAAACACTGGAGCAATTGATTAACTAGTGACCGACACTGAATATTTTGTCCGATTTGTCTTTGAGCATGTGCACTAAGAGAATGACTGCTTTTAATCTGAGGGAGAGCCATCTGAAAATCATTCTTAACCGCCCATATTGTCTTGTTATCTTCTGTGAACACTTCTTCCAATAATGTCATCAGGTTATCGAAAATTGATTTAACCTTCTGACGTACTTTATCCTGTTCCAAAATAACTGCCCTCTCAATCTTCTCAATGAAAGCTACACATGCTTCAAACTGGATCTCTTTTGAACTCGCAGCTTCAGACAATGATTTCATCTCTTGCTCAATCTCTTGACTAACGTCATTTATAGACCCGTAGTCATGACCTTTATGTGACGGCTCAAACATGCACTTGTAACAGACCAGACAGGAACAATCCCTACAATATATCTCAAGTTCATACTTTGGGTGACGAACACAAGAGACGTTAGCCGGCTGCTTCGAAAAAGACACAACAGAGTCTAATGTACTATTGCTATCATCAATAGCAGAAATATTATGTGATAAGAATGCCTTCCCTTTCTTGTGAAAATCACGGCAATACTGACAAAGATATTCCCCACAATCTTCACAAAAACCAACAGCAACATCCCCAGCAGTACAGAATCCACATATCCTGCTACCTTTATCTCCTGACTTTGCTTCTTCTAGCTCTGGCAGAATCGAGACATTCACTGGATAGTTTGTTCCAGAAACTGGCAATGGCTCATGCTTAGCTCTACACTCAGGACAAGTCAGACTCGAGTCCTTATTCGAAAAGCCTTTTATACACTTCAGGCAGAAAGTATGAAGACATGGTAGAACACGAGGATCGTTATATAGCTCCAGACAGACACTGCACTTGAGAGAATGTCCTTCCATCATAGGTAAATTTAAAATTCACTGCAGGGCTGCCAGGCGCCTACGCGGAGCGGATGGGTGATCGATCCACGCCTGTAGTTTATTAAACTACATTTAAAAATACTACAAATACAACCATAAAAATACTACAAATGTACAAAAATAATACTAGAGGGATTATAAAGCATACAAAACAGATTATTATTTAAAAGAAAAAAATGGAAAACAAAGCAAATCAGCGGGAGTAGCTCTCTCGGTATAGTCAGCCTAGCAAGAAATCTTTGAAAACATTATTTATAAAGTCAAACGATACCTTAAGACAAGCATCTATCATTTGTAAAACTCCATCAACCATTCCATTTTCAGACTCGCATGATAATTTGATCCGCTAAATAAAAAAACTATAAAATACATAATAATATTATTTTAAAATTATACCTTGATCAATACTGAGATAACTTCAGCTGTATAGCTGCAATTATTTGGATCAAACCTTGAACTGTTACCTTTAAAATCGCCAGATAACATTTTAGCCTATAATGATATGGGAAAACAGCAGAAAGGAAATTGTTAAAAACAAAAGAGACTAAGAGAGAGTACCGTATAGCCACTTAATTTCGAGGGTACAGCTTTCGCTGTTTTCGCGGATTTTCCGTATTCGCGAAAGTTAATTCCGTGAAATATCCGTATTGCCCATAAACACGTGTGCTTTAAAACAAGAACCGTGAAAGTTAATTCGCGAAAAAAGACTTGTGGCCTGATTCACGAAAGTTTATTGCCTCGAAACTTTGTGGCTATACAGTAATTATGATTAACATACCTCAGCAGTTGTATCATTCTTGTCAAACCTGCCACGAAGCTCATCTAAAAGAAAGACACCAAAACTCCACACGTCATTCCAAGGACCAATAACATTAACCCCTTCACAACCACAGTCCTTACAAGCTCTCTAAACAAGTGCAACTAACAATGAACACATTATATCACTATAAGTACCTCTGGGGCCACTCTATATTCAGGGGTGCCAGAAATTCTACAAAGCTCTTCGTCATCTTTCCTTTTAATTGGATGCTTAGGGCATTTAGTGAAGGTGCTGGAACAAAAGTGAACAAAATCAAAATCAGCCAGTTTTACAGAATAACGGTGACCTTCTAGACATTGAAAGATACTCTTACATTGGCAGTGCTCCTGCATTGTCAACATGTTTGAGCCTAAAGCACTAATAACTCAAGCACAATATAATAATAACAGTAAATACTTTTAAGGTCCAGCAGTGCAATGCCACATTTTTGAAGATAGTCTAGTGCTAGTAAAACCTGACGACAAACATTCTGAAAGTTACGCCAAAGAGTCATGGCAGTAATCTCTTTAAGCTTTAACGCTGGTATTATCCCTCCTCCTATTACTTTAAACTCGTCACGAAGTGATCCTAATTAATGCTATAACATTCAGTGTGTAAGATAATTAATAAACTCACTGGTCATCCTGGGCATAACTTGACAGTAATGTTGCTGGTTGACACTGTGAACAACAAATGCACCTAACAGAGGTATAATGTTTGGATGATCTAGCTTGGACCATATCGCCAATGTCTCTCTACGATATCCAGTCTAAAATATAAAAAATCATTAATTTTTACTAAACTATCAAGTATGACAATTACTTTTACATATTTCAGTGCCACTTTATGCCCTCCAAAAAAGGATGAAATAACCTCACCATTGCCTCCTTTCCCTAATTGGTCGTATTGAGCTAAATCTTCACATTTTGGAAGAGCAGAGAAGTGTCCAGAAAATAGCTTTTCAACAAAACCCTAATATACATTGTAATAATAATAATAAAATAATAATAATAATGATAAATAATAATGCAACTACCTTAGGCTGAGCATAAATTAATGCACCATGATTCTTCTTTTTAATGCTCTCAGGTAAATCCAAGTCTCTGGTAATCTGCTTATGTGGGGATATGGAGGGCTGGGTAAAATACTCTTTTTGCTGTAGCATTAATGAAGGAGTAGTAGGATACACTAACTTCTTATTGGTGTCTGATATTGGAGCTGAGGGCGAATAACTCGGAGTACGATTAGAGAAACTAAGTTCTGTTATGTCGTAACTTGGAATAGGCGAAGGATTCTGAAGTAATACTATCCCTCCCTCAGGGTTACTGATACTAAGGTGAGTAACGGTAAGCTCATCTTTTTGCTGCACACTTGTCTCCTTTTCGTCGACAGTGTGATACTGTTCCGACAAGGTCTCTCTTGGTTCGAGTGATATATTCTCTTCTTCCATCCCTTTCCTCTTGACAGTCGTGTCGTGTGCTGGGGCTACTAGCTCCTCTTCATTACTCTCTTCTTTCCTCTCTTCAGTAAGAGTGAGCTCCTCATCCATTCTACTGTCGCTGAATGGTACAGGGCCATTAGAAGATAGTACAGCAACACAATGGGCTCCTAAATATTGCCCTGGGGCACTGCCTCTTAGAATAATACCTGAGGCCTCATCATTAGAGGATTCAATAAGATAAAGAATAGACCCGGCATTGTATTCTAGGAGGAAAAGAATGAACAGTTTCATTGTTTGTATATCACAAAATTTAATAAAAGATGGCAGGTCCAACTTTGGACGATAGCCCCATAGTGTACCTTAAGCCTACTATTATTTGCGTCTACTAATTTTAGCGAAATCAGCAAAAGTCATGTTTAGCGTTACTAATTTTAGCGTTTTTAACCAAATTAAATATAAATAATAACCGTTATAATGAATAATAATTATTTTGGCGTCTATTTAATTTAGCGATTTAAAGCTCTCTCGCTAATATCGCTAAATTTAGTAGATGCTAAAAATAGTAGGCTTAAGGTATTACGCCATACTTTTAAAAATGGCCATAACTTGAAAATTTGAAGTCGGAATCAGCTCAAACTTTCTACAAAGCATAAGGACAAAAATATGTATCAGAAAATGCAATAAAAATTGGGTGTCATTTTGGGGCCATTTTTTGGAAAACCCAAAAACCCATGGGCTATAGCCTTGGGTATTTTTCAGAAAATGGCATATTTTTTTAATGGTCATAACTTGAAAATTTTTAGTCGGAATCGGCTCAAACTTTTTACATAGCATAAGGACATCAATATGTATCAGAAAATGTAATAAAAATTTGGGGTCATTTCGGGGCCATTTTTTGGAAAAACCCATGGGCTATAGTCTTGGGTATTTTTCAGAAAATGGCATATTTTTCAAATGGCCATAACTCGAAAATTTTTAGTTGGAATCGGCTCAAACTTTCTACATAGCATAAGGACATAAACAGTGAACATCTACACCTCCCCCCATAAATACAGTCATGTTTATTATATTATGTGGAAATGTAATTGTAAATTTGTAATGACATACCTCCAGTTTGCAATACTTTGGTATCATAGCCTTCACCCAGACGATACACGCCCAACTTATAGTCCACATTCACAAGTGACTTATATAGTGGAGAAGACTGATCCAACCTGTTCAAACAAGATGATATCTCCTTGGAAGTGAGGAGATGGTCTGGACTAATCTCAATGGCATAAATATGAACAATAAGAGTAGTAGGATCAGTATTAGGAAGGGCTGGAGGGAATACGATTAAAATGTGATCGTCCATCAGATTAGGAATCTCAATGTTAAAATTTGTGCCTGACACATGCATGGTTCTGGGATTACTCAACACAAGAGCAAGGTCTGATAGCATATTGGTGTAAGCAGCTTGGAATGAAGAGGAAGGACTGATGGAGTAGGTAAGGGGTGGTACACCACAACCTGCTTCACTCTTGGTAATGTCATATTGGATCCTTTTCACAATAGACGGGCCAATTCCAGAGTCAAAATTGTTCAATGGTCTGTGGTCTGACATGATAACTTTCAGATAAAAGCTAAATACTAAACTATAGATCTACTATGTATATATATATATTAATTCAGAAATTGCCACCAGGAGTAGGCTTTATATTAAGCCATACTAATCTGATAACAACTTAACAATTAAATGTTCGAATCTCTACAGAGATTATTCCGACGACTTTTCTTCCTTCTCTGTCCTTGTCCTCTTTCTCTTTTTCCAGATGCAAGCTGGCAGCTCTTTTCTCTCTTTTGATTCCACAAGAATCTCGAAGATTCTTTTCTTTAAACCACTCCCATAAAGGTGGGGCATAATTTTAAGCCTCGCCCCAGAATTAATAATTATCTACTATTTTTTATAGCATGACAGCATTGCAAAACTGATTAACAGACAAAAAAGTTTAATTATTACCTACATAATCATGTGTATTACAGTGATTTTGACAAATATGTATCCTAAACTTTGTCCTTCACTTTAGATCATCCAATCCTATCCTCAATTTTTTGCTGATCCGTGGACTGTTATTAGCTTCACTGCTACGTTTAGTTGCCTTAGATACTTGCCCTTGACTGCCTACAATATTTACATCAAACTTAACAATGAACGAAGTCCCAACTGGAGACAAATGAAAGGTGTATTTCCCTTCATGCTTTGGTCTAAACTCTATTGTGATCTTATTATCAGTGATGCCTTTGACCAGTGGAGAGGAATCAGGATGATTTGAGCAATTTATGGACCATTCTGAAGAAAGGCTGGCAAAAGGTTGATCAAAAACAGCATCGGTTCTTATTACTTCAGAGAAAGGAACCAATCGTGTAGCAGCTCTGCAAGTAGCATTCTCCTTTTCTTTTTTAAGTTCAGCAAAGTTAGTCAGGTTGCAAAGTGTGTTTAACTTGTCTTTGAAGTGATAGCTGGTGCTGTTAATATGCCATGCCTCCTTTACAGGGCTAGTCAAATTAGCATCCTCTATGCTGACCAGACACTGTAACAACTGATTAACTAGCAGCAAATATCGATCATTTCCTATTTGGTCTTGAATGCAAGTGCTCAAGGAAAGACAGCTTCCAACTTGAGAAAGGATCATTGCAATGCTGTCTTTTGCAGATGATATTTTCTTATTGTCATCTCTGAATATATCTTCCAGAATTGTCATCAGTTCATCAAAGAAAGCTTTCATTTTCATGCGTACTGTGTGCTGTTCACCAAGTGCTAGTTCCTCAACTTTCGTCAAAAGGCTCAAACAAGCTTCGGCTTTACAAGCCTTGGATTTTGCAGCTTCTAAGAGCAAACCCATCTTTTCAGCCACTTCTTCAATTGATTCTCTAATTAGCAAGTTCTCATGTTCCTTGTGTGGATGTTCCAATACACATTTGCAACATACAAAAGAGACACAAGTCCTGCAGTATACTTCAATCTTGTATTCTGCATGAATGGTGCAATGTGGTCCAGAATTATCAGGCGTAGGAATGATGTCCCTTTTCAGGGATGCTGCTTCTCCGGTTGAAACTACTTTATGGCTTGAAAACATTTTCCCTCTCTTATGAATGACATCACGACAGCATTCACACAAGTACTCACCGCACTCAATGCAGTAGCCCACGGCAGCATCACCTGTAGTGCAAAACCCACATATCAACTCAGTTTCTTCTTCTATATAGTCTCCTGTCTTATCTTTAGCCTCCTCCACGTCTGAAAGAGCGAATAGATTCACTGGATACGGAGCTGTAGGGAGTTGGTGCTTTGCTTTACACTGAGGGCAGGTCAGACTGGATTCATCCACACTGAGTCCTTCAATGCACTTCAGACAATAAGTATGAAGACAAGGAAGGACGCGAGGGTCAGTATAGAGCTTTAAACAAGAGCTACAAGTCGTGGACTGCTCAGCCATGAATCACCATGTGGCACGTGGGCAATAGAGTAGATTAATTAACTATTAGATCTATTATTAAACTTATAGCAATTGACTGGTATTTAAAGGATTGAATTAGAATGGCAATGA